ACCGTTTGGGTTGTTTGCTGTTGTTTTGCCTTTTTGAAAGGTTCAAATGCGTAATTTGTTTTGACATATCGTTTCAAATTTTTGGAGTTTCCTTTTTAAAGTTCTTAATTGATCATCGAATAACCATTTTTGTCAATGCAAAAAAGTGCCTTTCACGAGATGCTTCAATTTGATTTTGTGTTCTTACAGGGGTATGTTTTGAACCCAAGCACACTCTGGTATAACAAAAGATTCGATCGAGAGCTCTCAACTCGGGTCCTTATACCGCTTGAAGTTTTCTTGAGTCTGGCGCCTTAGACCGCTCGGCCATCCTGCCTTGTAAATTGTACTGTACATTACCGTTTGGGTTTTTTGCTGTTGTTTTGCTATTTTGAATGGTTCAAAAACGTAATTTGTTTTGACATATCGTTTCAATTTTTTGGAATTTCATTTTTGAAGTTTTTAATTGATCATCGAAAACCAATTTTGTCAATGCAAAAAAGTGCATTTCACGAGATGCATCCATTTGATTTTTGCGTTCTTACAGGGGTTTTGAACCCAAGCACCCTCTGGTGTAACAAAACTTTCGATCGAGAGCGCTCAAGTCGGGTCCTTATACCGCTTCGGGTCCTTTACCGCTTAACTTTCAAAAGCAAAACTGCTTCTGGTTTTGCATTGTTTTTAATTCATGAGATACTTCGCAATGCTTGAAAATTTCTGACAGGAGTGGGATTCGAACCCACGCACACATTCGTGTACCAGAAACCTCGAGCGAGAAGTTTTCTTGAGTCTGGCGCCTTAGACCGCTCGGCCATCCTGCCTTATAAATTGTAATGTACCTTACTGTGGGTTGCTTGCTGTTGTTTTGCCATTTTGAATGGTTCAAATACGTAATTTGTTTTGACATATCGTTTCAAATTTTTGGAATTTCATTGTTGAAGTTTTTAATTGATCATCGCCAACCAATTTTGTCAATGCAAAAAAGTGCATTTCACGAGATGCATCCATTTGATTTTTGCGTTCTTACAGGGGTTTTGAACCCAAGCACCCTCTGGTGTAACAAAACTTTCGATCGAGAGCTATCAAGTCGGGTCCTTATACCGCTCGGCTTTCGAAAGCAAAACTGCTTTTGATTTTGCATCCTTTTTAATTCATGAGATACTTCTCAAAGATTAAAAAACATCTGACAGGAGTGGGATTTGAACCCACGCACACATTCGTGTTCCAGAAATCTCGAGCGAGAAGTTTTCTTCAGTCTGGTGCCTTAGACCGCTCTGCCATCCTGCCTTATAAAGTGTACTGTACAGTACCGTTTGGGTTGTTTGCTGTTGTTTTGCCTTTTTGAAAGGTTCAAATACGTAATTTGTTTTGACATATCGTTTCAAATTTTTGGAGTTTCTTTTTTAAAGTTCTTAATTGATCATCGAATAACCAACTTTGTCAATGCAAAAAAGTGCCTTTCACGAGATGCTTCAATTTGATTTTTGTGTTCTTACAGGGGTATGTTTTGAACCCAAGCCCACTCTGGTGTAACAAAAACTTCGATCGAGAGCTCTGAAGTCTTGTCGTTGTTCCTCTCGGATTTCAAAGCAAAACTGCTTTCGGTTTTGCATTGTTTTTAATTCATGAGATACTTAGCAACGCCTAAAAAACTTCTGATAGGAGTGGGATTCGAACCCACGCGCACACTCGTGTTCCAGAATCTCGAGAGACAATATTCTTGAGTCTGGCGCCTAAGACCGCTCGGCCATCCTGCCTTGTAACTTGCACTGTACATTACAATTTGGGTTGTTTGCTGTTGTTTTGCCATTTTGAAAGGTTCAAATACGTAATTTGTTTTGACATGTAGTTTCAAATTTTTGGAATTTTGTTTTTGAAGTTATTAATGATCATCGACAACCAACTTTGTCAATGCAAAAGAGTGCATTTCACGAGATGCATCATTTTGATTTTTCTGTACTGACAGGGGTAAGTTTTGAATCCAAGCACACTCTGGTTTTAAAAAAATTTCGATCGAGAGCTCTCAAGTCGGGTCCTTATACCGCTCGGCTTTCAAAAGCAAAACTGCTTTTGGTTTTGCATTGTTTTTAATTCATGAGATTCTTCGCAATGCTTAAAAACTTCTGACAGGAGTGGGATTTTAACCCCCGCACACATTCGTGTACAAGAAATCTCGAGTGAGAAGTTTTTTGATTCTGGGGCTTTAGACCGCTCTGCCATCCTGCCTTATAAAGTGTGCTGTACAGTACCGTTTGGGTTGTTTGCTGTTGTTTTGCCTTTTTGAAAGGTTCAAATACGTAATTTGTTTTGACATATCGTTTCAAATTTTTGGAGTTTCCTTTTTAAAGTCCTTAATTGATCATCAAATAACCAAATTTGTCAATGCAAAAAAGTGCAGCATTTCACGAGATGCATCAATTTGATTTTTGTGTTCTTACAGAGGTAGGTTTTGAAACCAAGCACATTCTGGTGTAACAAAAGTTTCGATCGAGAGCTATCAGGTCGGGTCCTTATACCGCTTCGGGTCCTTATACCGCTTAACTTTCAAAAGCAAAACTGCTTCTGGTTTTGCATTGTTTTCAATTCATGAGATACTTCGCAATGCTTAAAAACTTCTGACAGGAGTGGGATTCGGAGCCACGCACACATTCGTGTACCAGAAATCTCGAGCGAGAAGTTTTCTTGAGTCTGGCGCCTTAGACCGCTCGGCCATCCTGCCTTGTAAATTGTACTGACCTTACCGTTTGGGTTGTTTGCTGTTGTTTTGCCATTTCGAAAGGTTCAAATACGTAATTTGTTTTGAAATATCGTTTCAAATTTTTGGAATTTCATTTTTAAAGTTATTAATTGATCATCGAATAACCAACTTTGTCAATGCAAAAAAGTGCAGCATTTCACGAGATGCATCATTTTGATTTTTGTGTTCTTACAGAGGTAGGTTTTGAACCCAAGCACACTCTGGTGTAACAAAAGTTTCGATCGAGAGCTCTCTAGTCGGGTCCTTATACAGCTTCGGGTCCTTATACCGCTTAACTTTCAAAAGCAAAACTGCTTCTGGTTTTGCATTGTTTTTAATTCATGAGATACTTCGCAATGCTTAAAAAGTTCTGACAGTAGTGGGATTCGAACCCACGCACACATTCGTGTACCAGAAATCTCGAGCGAGAAGTTTTCTTGAGTCTGGCGCCTTAGACCGCTCGGCCATCCTGCCTTGTAAATTGTACTGACCTTACCGTTTGGGTTGTTTGCTGTTGTTTTGCCATTTCGAAAGGTTCAAATACGTAATTTGTTTTGACATATCGTTTCAAATTTTTGGAATTTCATTTTTAAAGTTATTAATTGATCATCGAATAACCAACTTTGTCAATGCAAAAAAGTGGAGCATTTCACGAGATGCATCAATTTGATTTTTGTGTTCTTACAGAGGTAGGTTTTGAACCCAAGCACACTCTGGTGTAACAAAAGTTTCGATCGAGAGCTATCAAGTCGGGTCTTTATACCGCTCGGCTTTCGAAAGCAAAACTGCTTTTGATTTTGCATCCTTTTTAATTCATGAGATACTTCGCAATGCTTAAAAACTTCTGACAGGAGTGGGATTTGAACCCACGGACACATTCGTGTTCCAGAAATCTCGAGCGAGAAGTTTTCTTGAGTCTGGTGTCTTTGACCGCTCGGCCATCCTGCCTAGTAAATTGTAATGTACATTACCGTTTGGGTTGCTTGCTGTTGTTTTGCCATTTTTAATGGTTCAAATACGTAATTTGTTTTGACATATCGTTTCAAATTTTTGGAGTTTCCTTTTTAAAGTCCTTAATTGATCATCAAATAACCAAATTTGTCAATGCAAAAAAGTGCAGCATTTCACGAGATGCATCAATTTGATTTTTGTGTTCTTACAGAGGTAGGTTTTGAACCCAAGCACACTCTGGTGTAACAAAAGTTTCGATCGAGAGCTATCAAGTCGGGTCTTTATACCGCTCGGCTTTCGAAAGCAAAACTGCTTTTGATTTTGCATCCTTTTTAATTCATGAGATACTTCGCAATGCTTAAAAACTTCTAACAGGAGTGGGATTTGAACCCACGGACACATTCGTGTTCCAGAAATCTCGAGCGAGAAGTTTTCTTGAGTCTGGTGTCTTTGACCGCTCGGCCATCCTGCCTTGTAACTTGCACTGTACATTACAATTTGGGTTGTTTGCTGTTGTTTTGCCATTTTGAAAGGTTCAAATACGTAATTTGTTTTGACATATCGTTTCAAATTTTTGGGATTTCGTTTTTGAAGTTATTAATTGATCATCGACAACCAACTTTGTCAATGCAAGAAAGTGCATTTCACGAGGTGCATCATTTTGATTTTTCTGTACTGACAGGGGTAGGTTTTGAATCCAAGCAAACTCTGGTGCAACGAAAGTTTCGATCGAGAGCTCTCAAGTCGGGTCCTTATACCGCTCGGCTTTCAAAACGCCAAACTGCTTTTGGTTTTGCATTGTTTTTAATTCATGAGATACTTCGCAATGCTTAAAAACTTCTGACAGGAGTGGGATTCGAACCACGAATACATTCGTGTACCAGAAATCTCGAGCGAGAAGTTTTCTTGAGTCTGGCACCTTAGACCGCTTGGCCATTCTGCCTTGTATATTATACTGTACATTACCGTTTGGGTTGTTTGCTGTTGTTTTTGCCATTTGAACTGTTCGAATACGAAATTTGTTTTGACATATCGTTTCAAGTTTTTTGAATTTCATTTTTAAAGTTAATAAATGATCATCGAATAACCAACTTTGTCAATGCAAAAAAGCGCAGCATTTCACGAGATGCATCAATTTGATTTTTGTGTTCTTACAGAGGTAGGTTTTGAACCCAAGCACACTCTGGTGTAACAAAAGTTTCGATCGAGAGCGCTCAAGTCGGGTCCTTATACCGCTTCGGGTCCTTATACCGCTTAACTTTCAAAAGCAAAACTGCTTCTGGTTTTGCATTGTTTTTAATTCATGAGATACTTCGTAATGCCTAAAAAGTTTTGACAGGAGTGGGATTCGAACCCACGCACAGATTCGTGTACCAGAAATCTCGAGCGAGAAGTTTTCTTGAGTCTGGCGCCTTAGACCGCTCGGCCATCCTGCCTTGTAAATTGTTCTGTACATTACCGTTTGGGTTGTTTGCTGTTGTTTTGCCATTTTGAACGGTTCAAATACGTAATTTGTTTTGACATGTCGTTTCAAATACGTAATTTGTTTTGACATGTCGTTTCAAATTTTTGGAATTTCATTTTTTAAAGTTATTAATTGATCATCGAATAACCAACTTTGTCAATGCAAAAAAGTGCAGCATTTCACGAGATGCATCAATTTGATTTTTGTGTTCTTACAGAGGTAGGTTTTGAACCCAAGCACACTCTAGTGTAACAAAAGTTTCGATCGAGAGCTCTCAAGTCGGGTCCTTATACCGCTTCGGGTCCTTATACCGCTTAACTTTCAAAAGCAAAACTGCTTCTGGTTTTGCATTGTTATTAATTCATGAGATACTTTATAATGCTGAAAAAGTTCTGACAGGAGTGGGAATCGAACCCACGCACACATTCGTGTACCAGAAATCTCGAGCGAGAGTTTTTCTTGAGTCTGGCGCCTTAGACCGCTCGGCCATCCTGCCTTGTACGTTGTACTGTACATTACCGTTTGGTTTGCTTGCTGTTGTTTTGCCATTTTGAATGGTTCAAATACGTAATTTATTTTGACATATCGTTTCAAATTTTTGGAATTTCGTTTTTGAAGTTATTAATTGATCATTGTCAACCAACTTTGTCAATGCAAGAAAGTGCATTTCACGAGATGCATCATTTTGATTTTTCTGTACTGACAGGGGTAGGTTTTGAATCCAAGCACACTCTGGTGCAACAAAAGTTTCGATCGAGAGCGCTCAAGTCGGGTCCTTATACCGCTTCGGGTCTTTTACCGCTTAACTTTCAAAAGCAAAACTGCTTCTGGTTTTGCATTGTTTTTAATTCATGAGATACTTCTCAATGATTAAAAACTTCTGACAGGAGTGGGATTTGAACCCACGCACACATTCGTGTTCCAGAAATCTCGAGCGAGTAGTTTTCTTGAGTCTGGTTCCTTAGACCGCTCGGCCATCCTGCCTTGTAAATTGTACTGTAAATTACCGTTTGGGTTATTTGCTGTTGTTTTGCCATTTTGAACGGTTCAAATACGTAATTTGTTTTGACATATCGTTTCAAATCGTTGGAGTTTCATTTTTAAAGTTATTACTTGATCATCGAATAACCAACTTTGTCAATGCAAAAAAGTGCAGCATTTCACGAGATGCATCAATTTGATTTTTGTGTTCTTACAGAGTTAGGTTTTGAACCCAAGCACACTCTAGTGTAACAAAAGTTTCGATCGAGAGCTAGGTCGCGTCCTTATACCGCTTCGGGACCTTATACCGCTTAACTTTCAAAAGCAAAACTGCTTCTGGTTTTGCATTGTTTTTAATTCATGAGATACTTCGCAATGCTTAAAAAGTTCTGACAGGAGTGGGATTCGAACCCAAGCACACATTTGTGTACCAGAAATCTCGAGCGAGAAGTTTTCTTGCGTCTGGCGCCTTAGACCGCTCGGCCATCCTGCCTTGTAAGTTGTAATGTACATTACCGTTTGGGTTGCTTGCTGTTGTTTTGCCATTTTTAATCGTTCAAATACGTAATTTGTTTTGACATATCGTTTCAAATTTTTGGAATTTCGTTTTTGAAGTTATTAATTGATCATCGACAACCAACTTTGTCAACGCAAGAAAGTGCATTTCACGAGATGCATCATTTTGATTTTTCTGTACTGGCAGGGGTAGGTTTTGAATCCAAGCACACTCTGGTGCAACAAAAGTTTCGATCGGGAGCTCTCAAGTCGGGTCCTTATACCGCTCGGCTTTCAAAATGCCAAACTGCTTTTGGTTTTGCATTGTTTTTAGTTCATGAGATACTTCGCAATGCTTAAAAACTTCTGACAGGAGTGGGATTTGAACCACGCATACATTCGTGTACCAGAAATCTCGAGCGAGAAGTTTTCTTGAGTCTGGCGCCTTAGACCGCTTGGCCATCCTGCCTTGTGGAATGTAGTGTACATTATTGTTTGGGTTGTTTGGTGTTGTTTTTACCATTTGAACGGTTCAAATACGTAATTTGTTTTGACATATTGCTTCAATTTTTTGGAATTTCATTTTTCAACTTACTAATTGATCATCGAATAACCAACTTTGTCAATGCAAAAAAGTGCATTTCACGAGATGCATCAATTTGATTTTTGTGTTCTTACAGGGGTAGGTTTTGAACCCAAGCACACTCTGGTGTAACAAAAGTTTCGATCCAGAGCTCTAAAGTCGGGTCCTTATACCGCTTAACTTTCAAAAGCAAAACTGCTTTTGATTTTGCATTTTTTAATTCATGAGATACTTCACAATGCTTAAAAACTTCTGATAGGAGTGGGATTTGATCCACGCATACATTCGTGTACCAGAAATCTCGAGCGAGAAGTTTTCTTGAGTCTGGCGCCTTAGACCTCTGGGCCATCCTGCCCTGTAAATTGAACTGTACATTACCGTTTTAGTTGTTTGCTGTTGTTTTGCCATTTTGAAAGGTTCAAATACGTAATTTGTTTTGACATATCGTTTCAAATTGTTGGAATTTCATATTGAAAGTTTTTAATTGATCATCGAATAACCAACTTTGTCAATGCAAAAAAGTGCAGCATTTCACGAGATGCATCAATTGATTTTTGTGTTCTTACAGAGGTAGGTTTTGAACCCAAGCACATTCTGGTGTAACAAAAGTTTCGATCGAGAGCTCTCAAGTCGGGTCCTTATATCGCTCGACTTTCAAAAGCAAAACTGCTTTTGATTTTGCATTTTTTTTAATTCATGAGATACTTCACAATGCTTAAAAACTTCTGACAGGAGTGGGATTTGAACCACGCATACATTCGTGTACCATAAATCTCGAGCGAGAAGTTTTTTTGAGTCTGGCGCCTTAGACCGCTTGGCCATCCTGCCTTGTGGAATGTAGTGTACATTATTGTTTGGGTTGTTTGCTGTTGTTTTTGCCCTTTGAACGGTTCAAATACGTAATTTGTTTTGACATATTGCTTCAATTTTTTGGAATTCCATTTTTCAAGTTACTAATTGATCATCGAATAACCAACTTTGTCAATGCAAAAAAGTGCATTTCACGAGATGCATCAATTTGATTTTTGTGTTCTTACAGGGGTAGGTTTTGAACCCAAGCACACTCTGGTGTAACAAAAGTTTCGATCCAGACCTCTCAAGTCGGGTCCTTATATCGCTTAACTTTCAAAAGCAAAACTGCTTCTGGTTTTGCATCGTTTTCAATTCATGAGATACTTCGCAATGCTTAAAAACTTCTGACAGGAGTGGGATTCGAACCCACGCACACATTCGTGTACCAGAAATCTCGAGCGAGAAGTTTTCTTGGGTCTGGCGCCTTAGACCGCTCGGCCATCCTGCCCAGTAAATTCAACTGTACATTACCGTTTTAGTTGTTTGCTGTTGTTTTGCCATTTTGAAAGGTTCAAATACGTAATTTGTTTCGACATATCGTTTCAAACTGTTGGAATTTCATTTTTAAAGTTATTAATTGATCATCGAATAACCAACTTTGTCAATGCAAAAAAGTGCAGCATTTCACGAGATGCATCAATTGATTTTTGTGTTCTTACAGAAGTAGGTTTTGAACCCAAGCAAAATCTGGTGTAACAAAAGTTTCGATCGAGAGCTCTCAAGTCGGGTCCTTATATCGCTCGACTTTCAAAAGCAAAACTGCTTTTGATTTTGCATTTTTTAATTCATGAGATACTTCACAATGCTTGAAAACTTCTGACAGGAGTGGGATTTGAACCCACGCACACATTCGTGTACCAGAAATCTCGAGCGAGAAGTTTTCTTGAGTCTGGCGCCTTAGACCGCTCGGCCATCCTTCCCTGTAAATTCAACTGTACATTACCGTTTTAATTGTTTGCTGTTGTTTTGCCATTTTGAAAGGTTCAAATACGTAATTTATTTCGACATATCGTTTCAAACTGTTGGAATTTCATTTTTAAAGTTATTAATTGATCATCGAATAACCAATTTTGCCAATGCAAAAAAGTGCATTTCACGAGATGCATCCATTTGATTTTTGTGTTCTTACAGAGGTAGGTTTTGAGCCCAAGCAAAATCTGGTGTAACAAAAGTTTCGATCGAGAGCTCTCAAGTCGGGTCCTTATATCGCTCGACTTTCAAAAGCAAAACTGCTTTTGATTTTGCATTTTTTTAATTCATGAGATACTTCACAATGCTTGAAAACTTCTAACAGGAGTGGGGTTTGAACCCACGCACACATTCTGTTCCAGAAATCTCGAGCGAGTAGTTTTCTTGAGTCTGGTTCCTTAGACCGCTCGGCCATCCTTCCTTCTAAATTGTACTGTAAATTACCGTTTGGGTTGTTTGCTGTTATTTTGCCATTTTGAACGGTTCAAATACGTAATTTGTTTTGACATATTGCTTCAATTTTTTGGAATTCCATTTTTCAAGTTACTAATTGATCATCGAATAACCAACTTTGTCAATGCAAAAAAGTGCATTTCACGAGATGCATCAATTTGATTTTTGTGTTCTTACAGGGGTAGGTTTTGAACCCAAGCACACTCTGGTGTAACAAAAGTTTCGATCCAGACCTCTCAAGTCGGGTCCTTATATCGCTTAACTTTCAAAAGCAAAACTGCTTCTGGTTTTGCATCGTTTTCAATTCATGAGATACTTCGCAATGCTTAAAAACTTCTGACAGGAGTGGGATTCGAACCCACGCACACATTCGTGTACCAGAAATCTCGAGCGAGAAGTTTTCTTGGGTGTGGCGCCTTAGACCGCTCGGCCATCCTGCCCTGTAAATTCAACTGTACATTACCGTTTTAGTTGTTTGCTGTTGTTTTGCCATTTTGAAAGGTTCAAATACGTAATTTGTTTCGACATATCGTTTCAAACTGTTGGAATTTCATTTTTAAAGTTATTAATTGATCATCGAATAACCAACTTTGTCAATGCAAAAAAGTGCAGCATTTCACGAGATGCTTCAATTGATT